ATAGTGTAGTAAAAGTGAGTGGAAGAAATGAAGAAGAGAGTTGAACAGAAAATTTCAAAGGGCCACTTGAGAAGACAAAGTGTTATAATGAACTGTGCAAAGATCTGAAGTTAGAAAATCAAAAGGAAGAACACCACTCAGCATTCCTCAGGCTGAAAGCACTAAAGGAAAAAATTGAAGCCTTGTTGCAATATTGAAGGATTCTATGGGAGAAATATTGAATGATGCAGAAAGCATCAAAAGAAGATGGAAGGAATACACAGAGTCCGTATACCAAAACGAATTGCTCACCATTCAACCATTTCCAGAGGTAGACTATGATCGAGAACAAATGGTACTGAAGGAAGAAGTCTAAACCGCAGTGAAGACATTGGTAAAAAACAGAGCCCCAGGAATTGACAGATGGTAAAATTGAGATGTTTTGACAAACACATGCAGCACTGGAAGTTTCACTTGTCTATGCCAACAAATTTGGAAGACAGCCACCTGGCCAGCAAACTGGAAGAAATCCATATAGTGTTTCTTCCAAAGACAGGTGATCCAAGAGAACATGGAAATTATGAGACTATCTTTAATATCACATGCAAGTAAAATTATGCTGAAGATGATTCAAAAATGGTTGTAGTAGTACATAAACAGGGAACTGCCAGAAATGCAAGTTACATTCAGGAGAGGATGTGGAATGAGTGATATCATTGCTGATGTCAGAAGGATACTAGCTGAAAGCAGAGAATGCCAGAAAGATGTTTACCTGTTTTATTGACTATGCAAAAGCATTCAACTTTCACTCAAAGTACAATAAGATTTAAAAAACCAAAAAGACAAACAATGTATTGCACTAGGCAAATGTGCTGCAAAAGACCTCCTTAAAGTGTTAAAAAAAAAAAAAGCAAAGATGTCACCTTGAGAATTAAGATGCACCTGACCCAAGTCATGATATTTTCAGTCACCTCATACGCATACAAAAAGCTGGACAAAGAATAAAGAAGATCAAAAAAGAATTGATGCCCTTGAATTACGGTGTTTGCAAAGAATAGTGAATATACAATGGACTGCCAGAAGATTGAACAAATCTGTCTTGGAAGAAGTACAGCCAGAATGCTCCTTCAAGCAAGGGTGGCAAGACTTCGTCTCATGTGCTTTGAACATGCTATCAGGAGGGACCTGTCTCTGGAGAAGGACATCAGCTTGGTAAAGTAGACATTCAGTGAAAAAGAGGAAGACTCTCAATGAGATGGATTGCACAGGCTGCAACAACGGCTCACAAATAACAACGATTGTGAGGATGGCGCAGTACTGGACAGTGTTTTGTTCTCTTCTACATGGGGTCGCTATGAATGAGAACCAACTGGAGAATGCCTAACAACGATGGTTAATTAAGTTATTAAATTATAGCCTCATGGATTAATATGGTATGCTTTCCTGTGATGGGCATTTAAGATCCATGTACAGTTCAGTTCTACCAGAGGAAACAATACCTTGCATCACTCCTTAATACCCACTTTTTATCCGACTAGGCAGATCTCCTTACTTCTCATGACTCTTAGTTCTGTATTTGAGCCCATATTTATTTCCTTTCTTTATCTGGAATTCCCTCTCCCCTTAACTTTTCTCCGCAAATCCTATCCATTCTTTATTCCAAGCTCATGTTCCACATCTGCCTTGAACCCTTCTTTTATTTTCCAACTCTGACCTTTGACAGTCTTTTGCCATTCAGTCAATTATACTGCCTTATATAATTTAACCATTTTATCTGGGTGCGACTATCTCTTTTTCATCTTTTAAGGCAGCTTAAAAGTCACCTGGGAAAGTTCTCTACTGTGTCTAAAGTAGCCCTTTTCCCTCACAAACAGTTTCTTCTCCTTTTTCCCTCTCCGCCATGTATTTCTTTTGATATGGCATTTACCACAACTGCAATTACTTTGTTTGTTTTCACCCTCACTAGAACATAAACTAGGAGCTCTGGTAGCATAGTGCCTAAGGCACTTGACTGCTAACCAGAAGGCTGGCAGTTCAAACCCACCAGCCACTCCTCAGAAGGAAGGTTGGGCAATCTACTTCCATAATGATACTGCTTTGGCAACCCAAGGAGAGGTCGCTATGAGTTGGGGCTGACTTGACAGCACATAACAACAACAACAGCAGAACATAAACTATGTAAAGGCAGTGACTGTTTCTTTCACTTTTGGATCCACAGTACGTAGGATGATTCAGCAGCTACATACTGGACTGTTTAATAAATGTTTTTTATTGACTTATTCCTCAAATGTTGTTATTGTTTTTATGTGCTGTCGAATCGGACCCCTCCTTGGGTTTCCAAGGCAGTATCACTTCGGAAGTAGATTGCCCAACCTTCCTTCTGAGGAGTGGCTGCTTAGCTGTCAAGTGCCTTAGGCAGTATGCTACCAGAGCTCCTGTTCCTCAAATAGATTGTTAAATACTTGCATATCAGAAACTGGATGGCCTAGTTCTCCGCTGGGCCCACACAGTGGGTTCTTTATTGAGAATATTAATTTCTCATAATGGAGAAGAAAGGAATAGGCCTAGAGCAAGTTGAGCAGCTTTTCTAAAACCAGACAGATGCCAAACATTTTCTCCTGCAGAGGTGGAGGCAGCAGCAGAGAATGCCTGCTCCTGGCTCAACTGCCACTGCCGTGGAGTGGATCCCAGTCATAGTGACTCCTCCTTGGGTTTTGGAGGTGGTATGACTATGGAAGTAGATTGGCCAACTTTCCTTCCGAGGAACGGCTGGTGGGTTTGAACGGCCATTCTTCTGGTAAGCAGTCAAATGCCTTAGGCATTAAGCCACCAGAGCTTCCAGATGGGGGCTTTCCAGGGAAAATTCCCCTGAGCTTTAGTCACTTAGCAATTCCAATGACTTTTCTCTCCTTCCCCTTGCAGCCTCTCCCATCTTGTATAGGGAACATGGGGCCTGGAGAGTAGCAAAGGGTGAAATTGAAAAGTAGATGGATGAAGAAAGGAAACTTTGCCACATGCAGCATTTTTGCTGAGGTAATTCTTGGAATCCCAGAAGTTTAATGGGAATATCACATGTTTATGGTGTCCCAAGAGTATCTAAGGAGAGATTTAGCAAACTTTTAATATTCTCTAGTAGGTACATCCATACAGTGAAATACAGTGCAACTGTTTTTAAAAAGGAAGAGGTAATCAAGCTCTTTATGATATACTAAGAATATTGGGAACTCTGGTGGCATAGTGCCTAAGGCACTTGACTGCTAACCAGAAGGCTGGTGGTTCAAACCACCAGCTACTCCTTGGAAGGAAGGTTGGGCAATCTACTTCTGTAGTGATACCGGTAGCCTTGGAAACCCAAGGAGGGGTTGCTCTGAGTCAGAGATGACTCAATGGCACATAACAAACAAAAAAAACAAGAATATTGCTTTCTTCAGTAGAATCACTCCAAATTCTGCCCATTTTTACTGCTTTATTAAAGTGTTTCTGGTTTTTCTCATTTTTTGGTACCTGTCTCTATGAATTGTTACTTACTAAGGAACTCTGGGGCAATCTACTTCCCTAGTGATACTGCCTCGGAAATCCAAGGAGGGGTCGCTATGAGTCGGGTCTGTCTGGATGGCACATAACAACAACAAGAAGAAGGAACTCTGGTAGTATTGTGCCTAAGGCATTCGACTGCTAACCAGAACCTTGGCAGTTCAAACCTACCAGCCATTCTGCAGAAGGAAGACTGGGCAGTCTACTTCCATAAAGATTTACCTCCTTGAAAACCAAAACCCAAAGGGGTTCACTTTGAGGTGGAATCAACTCGATGGCAGTGAGTTAGGTTTTTTTAATCATAACCGCTAAAGATCAATTTATGAACCAGATTTGTTGTTTTTAATTCATTGATGCCTCAAGCAGACCAGGATACCTGTATGAATGGGTCAGCACGTTCTTTTCCTGTGGTAGGGAAATCTACCCAGGGAACCAAATGAGGATTAGAACACTGTTTGATTGATACAGATTCAGATCAAAGGGAATGAGATAGTCTTAATGTTATCACTGTGCTTTGTGCTTTTTAAAATAAGAGGTGTATCCTCACCAAGTGTTGAAACTGAGCCAGCCTTGCACAGTATCTTCTCAGATGTATAAATTTTGATTTGTCAGGAGTATACTAACAAGTTCTTAAACTCTTGGATTACCATTTTCCCTTTCTTGGGAAGTCATAAAAAGATTAGGTCAGATGATTTCTGAGGCCTTAGAGAGGGCTAACATTCTACGAATTATGATCACTTTGACAGTTCTCTTTCTCATAAATGAATAAACTGACTCTCTTATGTGAAAATCTGTTCCTAGTGATTTTGATTAGTGTGTGTCAGGTCATCCAGTGGCTTTTGAAAATCTATCAAAATCTGTACAACAGCTTTGGTAACTACAAAAATTTTCTTCTTTACCCATCTCATGGTTTCTAATTAAAGTTAAAATCAAGTTTAAGACCATTGTCCAGTACCTAAAAATAAATTGCTAAAGCCAAGTTAGATGTGAATGGGATATAATCTCTGAGGCAATTTTGAACTATGAAACTACCCTTAGACTTAGCATGTTAGTTTAAACCTGCTTAATGCTCACCTTTGTACACCAGCATTAAGCAAAGAATTGCATCAGCGCATCCACCCTTGGACTTTTCCCTTGGCAATCAAAGTTGTCTTAGTGTATCAGAGGTCGCTGTGAGTCGTGTCTGACTCAATGGCAAATAACAACAACAGTGAGGTTTTATTTTGTTCCTCCACTTTCTAAGTATTAAGTTTAACTTCTATGGCTCTTTTCCAGTAGTATCACTTACTTTACTTTTCCCCGTATGTTTTATGTTAACGCAGCTGAGAACAGTCTAGGTCATGCAATTGAAATACTATTTGTTGTCACTCTGAGTGAATATAGGAAATTTTTCCAGTTATAAAGTGCAGTGAATATGCAATGTGATTTCTATAAATTTTCTGTTTTCAGTACTAAAACAGTCTCACTGTTTCCCTTCAAGTACAATCATGTTTGAAATTAAGAAGATCTGTTGCATTGGTGCCGGCTATGTTGGAGGACCCACGTGTAGTGTCATTGCGCATATGTGCCCGGAAATCAGGGTAACAGTAGTTGATGTCAATGAATCAAGGATCAATGCTTGGAACTCTCCTACACTTCCTATTTATGAGGTAAACTATATTAATCTTTGTTCTTATGCTCTCTGTTTTCTTATTAAGTAATTTATATGCACTATTAAATCTGTGGGAGCTCTGGTAGCATAGTGCCTAAGGCACTTGACTGCTAACCAGAAGGCTGGTGGTTCACACCTACCAGCCACTCCTCAGAAGGAAGGTTGGGCAATCTACTTCCATAGTGATACTGCCTAGGAAACCCAAGGAGGGGTCGCTATGAGTCAAGGCTGACTCGCCAGCACATAACAACAACATTAAATTTGTAGCTGTAACTGATAAGAAGTTAAAGGAAGAAAAATTTAGACACAAAATGCTATAGACATTTTAATTATATCAGGTATACCCAGGAAAAAATGACTGGGAAGAAGTAGGTCAGAATATTGATAGTGGTTGTAATAGTGTGGT